CCAGACATTCCTCAGACTGCCTATTAAAGAGGAGGTACTGGTCCAGTATGTCTTGGATGTGTTCACTGGTGCTGCTGGAAATGCCAGTCCCTGCCCTGAGCATCCCAGCTGCTCCAGAGCGGGCATCACACCCTCATGCCTCAGAGAATCCCACTGGGAGGAGCCCTTTCCTTGGAAAACTGCAGGGCTCTCCTCACACATGTCCTGTCTTGCCTTGCAGCAAAATGAAGCCAAATTGGAGGAGATTTTGAAAGAGCTGAAATCCATCAAGGACATGATCTCCTCCCAGGACGAGCGCATCTCCAAGCTGGAGCAGCAGATGGCAAAGATCGGGGACTGAGGGGCCCCGGCCCAGGCACATCCCAGCTCCCAGTGCAGCCAGCAGCAGCCTGCAGCATTCCAGCCCGAGCTTTCCTGTTCTCCTAAACCCACGTCAACGAGAGCTGATGATTCCAAGCCAAGCTTTTTAGTGAAAGATTTTTTCATTTCCTGATGTTCTGATGAATTTCTGTGACTGTGTCAAACCAAGTCAAAAACAACAAGTGCTACTTTTACAGGTTTTTTTTTTCCAGATGTTATGATGAATCCTTGAAAAACAAATCCATTCTGACTTTCGATGTCGTGCCCAAATACCTTTTTCTAGATTTAGGGACCAATGCCACATTGTTCTTAACCATTTTTTTTAAAGTTGCCAAAAAATAGAAAAAAATCGCTTTTTATTTTTCTTATTTGCCACTTTGCAGTATTTGTGTTTCCATTCCAAGGGACAGGGGGTGTGTGGTGGGTGTTTACACTGTGCAGAGAACAAAGCTGAAGCTATTTTATATAAATCCTCAATTTGGAACAATCAGGTGGGTTCCCTTCCCTGCTGAGACCCCTTGGAGATGGGATGAGCTGCCTTTCCTGCTCCCAGCCCTGTTGTCTGACAGAAAAATATAAATATATAGTTCTGAAAGAAGGGATTCATCCCACAAAATCCTTTTTCTTTTGTCCTACAGAACTTTTAAACCAGCACCATATTCCCATTTTAAAATAATCCCAAGGTTTGATTTCCATGACCAAACTCATGTGTTCTACTTGCTGATTTATTTCAATTTGGAGGCAGAAGTTACTTCCACGCAGGAATGTTTTTTTCAAGGAAGGAGTTTCAGGTGAGCTGTGGGATTCCAGCAGGTGGTGGAATTCTGTGGTGCCCATCTCAGCTCTGTGGTTGCTGTAAATCCTTGTTCCTGCCTCCCATACTCCTCAACTCATGGATTTTAAGGAGCTTTTGGAATCCCAGTCAGCCTCTCACACCGGTGCTGACATTTGGAATTTTCTCTGCTTCCAAGGCAGTGTTAGCAGCAGGAAGGTGACTTTTCCGTGATGATTCTCCCCAAACAAAATGCCTCTGTTGTTATTTTTTTATAATTTGCTTTCTCCTCTCCATCATTCCTGCCTCCCACCCTACATTGCTGGAAAGCTTTGCAGGAAAGGATTTGTTCCCGAACCAGATGAGTGACTTCCAACCCTAGCCTCCCTGCACCCCTTCTGAGTGGAAGGGACTGGGGAGGGTGGTTTTATCCCAGTTTGGAGAACTGGTTTCTCACACGTTCCTTTGGGGAGAGGCCCCGTGAGCGCTCTGGGCTGGCGAGCTCCTCCTGGAATCCCAGGGATGCCTCGACTCAGCAAAGCTCTGCTCTGGTGGGGTCTCCCCTGTGAGGGGGCTGTCAGGGATGGGGCAGGCTGGCTCCCTGCTCCCAGGCCATGTCCTTGTGCTGGGAATGGGATCCAGGACTGCCCGGCAAGCTGTGCCAGGCTGGATCAGTGTCGCCTGTCCTGGTACAACCAGGGAGTGGTGACAGCCCATCTGAAATCTAAAGGTGGGCAAAGACCACTAGGTGTCCAGGAGCTCTGGATCCCTCTCCCAGCTGGACTCTGTGCCTGTGGCAGCTCCGTGTGTGTGTGACGTGTGCGTGGGAGCCTCTGCCCCGCATCCCCTGCCCGGAGCATCCCGGCGGGACACGTGTCCCTTCGGCCAGGCTGAAGTGATTGATTTTTTTTTTCCATTAGTTTAGCTAGGAATTCTCCGATTTTTCCATTTTTCCCAGTGTTTGCATGTCCAGAACTTCCAGGTTAAGGATTCCCTGTTGTGGAGGGATGTGTGTGTGTGGAGGTGGGACCGCGCCGTGGGAACGGCCGGGTCACGTAGCTGGAGAGGCACAAGGACGGGAAGGAGGAGATGGAGGATGTGGGAGGATGGCAGAGCATGAAAGCTTCAGAAAAATGGGATTTCTGTGTTTTAGGGACAAGTGGCATCCCCTGCCCTGTGCCCGTGGATCCACAATCCGGCTGCTCCGGATTCTTTGGCTGTTTGGTGACGTTTCTGTATTGCAGTAAATGCCTGAGATGTGTATTTTTATGAATTTTTCTTTTGGAAACCAAACCCGAAGGTCGTTACCCCCAAAGTGGTGATTTCTGTGTTGATTTGTACGTGTGACTTCGGGGTTGTGTGCTTGGGGACCTCGGGTTTGTTCCTAAAGTCGGAAGGAAATCAGTTTTGGGAGCCGCTGGATTGAGATGCCCAGAGGTGGGGGTGTGGGAGACGGTCCCAGAGGCCGCCCTGGATTTTAGTTCTTAGTCTGTATTTTATTTAAATGAACTGATGCCTCGCCAGGCTCAACCGGAGTCAGTGCCTGAAGCTTTTTGTAGCCGTGATATCCCGGGAGAGAACCAGCCCAGTCCGGAGAGACGCGCTCTTATAGAGCGCCGGAGTATCTGTCCAAATATTGCTTCCATTTTCAAAAGATAAAAGTCATTGATTATAAACTGCCTCTGCTTTGCTTTTTCTTTGGCTCTCGGCGTCCTGTGCCTGCCCTTGGCATTCCAGGTTTGATCAGTAACCTGGATATTAAATGTTGGACAGCTGAGCGGGGGGTTGGGGCTGAGGGGTCCTTTGGGACCCCCTGCTCTTGTCCCAGGGCCCATCCCTGACATCACACACGGTGATTGCCAGTGAGTGAGTGGTCCCAAAAGCTTGGCTGGATGTGGGATGTAATGGCACAGATGGCCTGGGGGGTCTCAGGGTGGCTGAGACCAGGCTGATGTGTGGAAGGAACAGCCCTGGTTGGGAATGCCCTGCTCTTCCTGAGCTGAAACCTGCTTCCACAGGGCCAGAGGCCTGGAATGGCAGAGGGCCTGGGCTGGAAAGAGCGTCACTCATCCCGCCCAGGTTTGAGCCTTCCCGGGGCTGCAGCGTTTCGCTGGTGTTGCACAACCACCTCCACCCCTCCCACCCTGAGCAGGGCAAGGATGCTCCAGGAGAGGCACCGTGGATCCATCCCCGGGGGATGCTCATCCCTCAGACCTGAACCCCTTTTCTTCCCTCCCCCAGCCCCATGGGCAGACTATTCCGAGAAGGGCCGGGGTGACCGCGGCCCCGGGTTTCGGGGGGAGGGTTGTTGACGCCCCGAGCCCGTTCCTGCGGATGTTCTCTTGCAGCACCTTCCTGCGGCTGCGGCCGCGCCTCCCGCCCGGTGCCCACGCTCGGGGCGGGGGTTTCCTGTCGTGCCGATGCCACGAGGCCGGGACAACACCCAACAGCCCCCGCAGCCTCCTGAGAGCCCCTCAGGACATCCTGGGCACGGTGCTGAGAGAAGGAGCCCGGCACAAGGGCTCTGCAAAGCATCGTCAGGCCCTCACTCTCCTTCTCCTCCTCCTCATGTGTAAAGGCATTTCCCTCACTGGGCTACCCTCATGTGCCCTCTCAGAGCACCATGACCCCCTCCCCGGCCGTGCCCACACGGTGCCCGAGGGGTGGCAGCCCTGGCACCAGGTTTGTGTCACTTCTGCTTTCAGGGTGACACCAGCCCCGACGCAGCAGCTCCTCGGGGCCGCCGGTGGGGCCGGGCCGGGGGCTCCCACCGGGCACCGAGGACACGGCGAGGGCGAGAGGCCCCTCTTTGGGGCGCACCCCACCCCCTGCCACCCTCCCCGGTGGGTGCCCGCAGCCCCACTCTCAGTGACGTCCTTCCCCCGTCGCTCTCCGAAACCGCAGCCGCCCTTCTGCGCTCCTTCCCTTCCCCGCCCGGGAGGTGCAGGGGAGGGTGGCCCACGACACCCTACGGGTGCCGGTGCCAGGGCTGCCCTCGCCCCCCGTGCCGGGCACTCGCCGGTGGATCCCGTCACCGCTGCAGCTTCGGATCCCGCGATGTCCCCGGCACAGGTGAGCCCCGCTGGGGAGGTGCTGGACTGGGGCTCGGTCCTGGGGATGCTGTGGGTGCAAAGGGAGTGCTCAGGGTCCCGGAGGGTGCCACGCTCAGGGCTGGTCCCTGGGGTTTTTGGGAGGAAGGTGAGCGCTTTGGGGATGTGGGAGCCTCCCGGGGATGCTCGGAGCGTTGGTCCGTGTGAGGATGTCTGGATGCTGTTGGGTGTGGAGCCGCAGGGACCGCGGTGGCCTCCACCCACTGGGGCTGCCAGGGGGGATATTGGTGATGGACATGGAAGGGGGGGCTTTGGGGGGGCTTTGGGGTGGGTTTGGGGCAGGTTTGACTCTCTTGCTGCAGCACAGAGGCACAGGCACACGGTGGCCTCAGCCCTAGAGCCCTGTGCCAGCCTGGCGGGTAGAGAGGCAGGACGGGCACCCTGGGGTGGAGGGGTCTGTCGAAACGTGGGCGAGATCCCTGTGGTTTCATTTCCACACGGAGACTCATCCCGCAACTGCCCGTCCCGCAGCAGCCGCCTCCATCACGGCTGATTTCCCATTTCCAGACACTCAACTTCCTTATCAAAACCTTCCCCTGGAGCGGAGCCGCCGGGGCTGAGCTCCCGCGGCGGGGCAGCGGCAGGAGGAGGTTGGTGGGCGCATCCTCCGGCTCCCAAACCCAAGGGCCCCTCTCCAGGAGGGGAGGAGGATCCTTGGCTGGAGTGCGATCCCACCTTGGGGCAGTTCGGGGCTCAACATCCTCCCGCAGGAGCAGGACCCCGATGTCACCTGCCCGCTCTGTCCCCTGCAGGTCCCGATGGCACCGGGCCGGGCTGTGCTGGTGCTGCTGGTGGTGCTGGTGCTGAGCCCCCCGCGGGTGAGCGGGACTGCGCTGGGGCAGCCCCAGGGCGGGCAGTGGCTCTGGGGGGCGGCCGGGCGGGCGCTGCCCCTCTCCCGCGGGAAGAGGGACGATGGTGGGCAGGACCCCGGTGCCACCGCAGCCACACCGGGGCACAGCCACGCTGCCACCGCGCTGATCAGCAGTGACCAGCCCGAGGGCGGCTCTGTGCCACCACCAGCACCCGGCACCAAGGCCAGCCTGTTCCGGGTGCCAACCACCGCCGACCCCATGGATGAGACCGATTCCCCTGATCCCGACCTGCTGCTGAGCTCTGCATCACCGGCACCCAGCACCAATGCCAGCCTGCTCCGGGTGCTTGGAGCGCTAACCACAGCCGATCCCGTGGATGAGACTGATTCCCCTGATCCCGACCTGCTCCTGAGCTCTGCACCACCACCAGCAGTGCCTGGCAGCAACGTCAGCCTGCTCTGGGCACTCACAGTGTCAACCACAGCTGATCCCATGGATGAGACAGACTCCCCCGATCCCGACCTGCTGCTGAGCTCTGCATCACAGTCCCCCAGCACCAACGCCAGCCTGAACCGGGCACTCACAGTGCCAACCACAGCCGATCCCATGGATGAGACTGATTCCCCTGATCCCGACCTGCTGCTGGGGCCCGGCACATCGGCTGCTCCCCAAAGGAGCGTCAGCACCACCCCCAGCTGGCTCACACCACCTGGCAGGGAGGGGACAGTGGCTGGTGGCACGGACAGCACCTCCTCCACAGGGCCACCCTCAACAGCCCCCTCAGCCCTCGGCCCCACCACCACGGGGTACAGTAAAGTCAAGAAAGCCGGAGCTCCCCCCGCACCGACCCGTTCGGCCCCTGGGGACACGACACCGACGGGCACCGCGGTGCCTTGGGACCCCAGCGGGGTGATGGGCAAGTGCCTGCTGGCCATCCTGCTGCTGGGGCTGGTGGCCGCCACCTTCCTGGTGAGCACGGGGGTGCTGGGGGCGCTGCTGTGGCGGCGGGCGCGGACGGGGCACCGCCGGCTCAGCCGCACCGAGATGGTTTGTATCTCGTCCCTCTTGGCCGACGCCGAGGCGGCCGCGGGGCCCCGGCCTGTCCCCGCCCGGCGGCACAAGCGGCTGCACGACGGCAGCGCCGAGCCCGACGGGGACAACCTGACTCTCAGCAGCTTCCTGCCGGAGCAGTCCTGAGCCCCGGGGTGGGTCCTCCATCCCACAGTGCTGGGGGGCGGTGGCAGTGCCAGGGCCATGTGCCTGATCCCCAGGCGAGCCACAGGCGGGGGACTCCCGTCCCCTTGGGTTCATGTTTTCGCTTGGATCGGCGTGATGGAGCCGCTTCCCCCGCGGCGAGCTCAGCCCTCGAGGCTGATCCCATTAAAGTGTTACGCGGACGCGGTGGTCTCTTCCTGGCAGGGACAGCGCCCGCCAGCCCCAGATCCCTCCCCGCCCCGCCGCCTGTCCACATCCCGCTGCCGAAATTTCGCTTCTCCATCCTCCTCCCGCAGCCCCCCGGCGGAGCAGAAACGAAACCCGCGGCCGCCCCTCGCCGGGCAGGGGCCAGACCAGGGGCTTGGGGACCGCAACTCCCGGGACCCCTCCCCGGTGGTCTCGGCCTCGTGGGCGCTGCAGGGGCGGCGGGGCCGGGGCGGAAATGCCGGGGGGGGAAGGGACGGGACCGCTCGTGGCTCAACGTGTTCCTGCCTGCGGTCGCTGCAGCGACGGCTCGGGGCTGTGGCTGCCGGTCAGGTGCTGCTGTCGCTGCCGGAGCACCGCAGGGTCTCGGCCTCGTCCAGTGGCGCTGGCCCCGGCTGTCCCTGCCTGCCCGGGACTGGGAATGGAAGAGATGGGGAGAACAAAGCCATGAGCAGCCAACAAGAGTCCCACCGGCGTTGGAGGGGGCTCAGGTTTGCTCCCAGGTCCCACCTCCCCCCGTGTGCAGGTGTCAGTCACCCCTCGGGCCACCAACTGGCCCCCTCCTTGTGCTCAGTGGTGAGGGAGCCACTCAAGGGAGCAGAAGTGGCCAAAGACTGTCCCTGCCCTGCCAGTCTCAGTGTCCCCATCTTCCCATCCCTGTTCCACCTGGGCTCAGTATCCCCATCCCCACATCCCCATTCCTGCCATGGCCAGGCTCAATGTTCCCATCTCTCCATCCCCACCCTTGCCCCGACAGATTCAGCATCCCCATCCCCACATCCCATCGCTATATCCCCATCCCCATATCCCCATCCCCATGTCCCCAAGTTTGTGGCCTCCTCGAAGGCCCCTCTGGGGTGTCCATCTGGGGGTCTCCCAGCACAGTGTCCCACCTGCACCCCAGCCCCACTGCCTGTTTACATTCACACTGTGCTTGGGATATTTTCCATCTGGCTCCTGGCAGCTGCACAGCCCTGATCCCGTCAGGAATGTAAATGTTTATGGGTGAGTCAGCTGGGTGACTGACCCCTATCCACTGGCCAGGGCTGGTCCCCAGGTGGGACACCCTGTCCGTGGTGATGCCACCCTGCTCTGTCCCACTGTGTCCCCATGCAGGTGGGTACCAGGCCCTTGCCAGGCAGAACATCTGCAGGAGGCAAAGGGATGCTCCCATCATCCATCTCCACCCCGCAGTGGCTCATTCAGCCCCTGCCCCCACTCCAGGTGAGGATGAGGCCAGTGTGTCCCGAGGAGGTGGGGGAGTGTAGGTTGGAGGGGTTGCTCCTGCTTTCCCAGCCCTGCACCGACTGCTCTGGAGCAGGAGCCCAGCAAGGATAAACTTTCCTCCACCGCTGGAGCTGCCAGGAGCTGGGAATCGCCCTATTTGGAATCGTCAGCAGGTCCTGTGGGGCTGCCACCGCCCAGCTCACGGCACAGGAATCTGCGGGAAGCCGGGGCGGTGTCACAGCAGGATCCTCAGGCAGCGGGAGGGCAGCGTGTGGTGGGTGGCACAGGGCCGTGGGTGGCACCAGGCTGTGGGTGACACGGGGTGGAGGGTGGCACAGGGCTCCACGCACCACGTGCAGCTCCGCAGGATGGGTCCCCTCGGGGTATTTTGCTGGCACAGCAAAGCGCAGCCCCGGGAGGTAAATTAGAAGCAGAGCGGGGCCGAAATCCCTCAAATTGCCGGTTCCCTGGGCGGGCGGTGCCGCCGTGCCGAGCCCTGCGCGGCCCCGCGTTCCAGCGGCCCCAAATTACACGGCGGGTCGGGCGGTCCCGGCCCTGCCCAGCTCCGAGGGGCAGAGCCCGCGCCCGCCGCAATCAAAAACGGCATCGTAATGGCCCGTGGGCGCTGGCACCGAGACTGCCCGGCTCGGGAGGGATCCCGGCGGGGAGGGGGGAACACTGGGCGGGGGAGAGGGGGATCCTGGGCGAGGAGGAACGGGAACCCTGGACAAGGAGGGATAGAGACCCTGGACAAGGAGAGATGAGACCCTGAGCAGGGTGGGATGGGGACCCTGGGTGACGTGGGATGCAAACCCAGGACAAGGAGGGATGGGAACCCTGAGCTAGGAAGGATGGGGACTCTGGATGAGGAGAGATGTGGACCCAGGGCAGACTGGGATGGGGACCCTGGGCAAGGAGACTAAGCCCAACGCCGGCATCGCTGGGCGCATGGGATGGGGAATTTGAGACCCATCCCCATCTGGGCTGCAGGAGCAAGTCCGGATGCCTCTGGAACTCCTCCCGGTTGAGGCCGCTCACCCCCGCCACGGCCTCCCCTCGCTTTTCCCCCTTCCCCTCTAAGATTTCATCACTGAGCACTTAAGGCCCGGAACAGCCGCCCCAGCAGCTGCTCGGAGCCGCGGCTGCAGCCAGACGGACGGACCGACCCGTTATTTCGGGAGCCGCGCCGGCGGCAGGACCCCAAACGGCGCCAGTTCCCTCGGGACACGGGGACAGACTCCCTCGGCCCCGCGGTCCCCTGACGCTGGCGGGGGCTTTTTGGGGGGTCTGGCAGGTCCCCAGGGAGGAGCAGAGGAAAATAGCAACAGGATGAGGTCACGCAGCGGCTGCAGCCTCTTGAGCAACCTCAGCTCGGGCCGAGGGACCAGGGTGGGGGGAGGCAGAGCCCCGGCGGGTGGGGGGGCCCAGGCGATGCCCCCAGACCCCCAGACTGGAGACCACATCCTGGGGAGCTGCCACGTTGGTCTGGGGAACCGCGGGGACCCCCTGCTTGTGTTCCTGCCTGCACCCCAAGGCAGAGGTGCCCGTATCAGAGCATTTCCACACTGGGTTGCTTAGGAAATGGTCTCCTGAAGTTACACAGGGGGTCCCAAGCCCTGTTTACCCCACTGCCAGCCACCAGTAGTGCCAGAGTACTGAGCCCACATCCTTCTCTGCCCTCCTCAGACCCTCACATGGGGCTTTACCCACTCCCTTGTGGAGAAAAACACCTTTGCAACACCCCCCTTGTGTGATCCCCTTCCCCGCTTGCACCCCAAAAAGTGGCCCCTCACAGTGGTGATGGTGAGCACCAGGGCTCCTGCCTTTTGCTGACAGAGGAAGAAAGCAGGAAACACCCCCAGCCCCAGCTGGATTTCGTCTGGGAGGGGGCTGGGGGCTGCCTGCCCTTCCCCGGCCTCCCACACCCCCTCCCCATCCCGGCCCTAATGAGAACAAGCTGGTCCTGGGCTGCGACGCAGGAGGAGGAGGAGGAGAAGGAGGAGGAGAAGAGGGAGAAGGAGGAGGCTCCATCCCAGCAGCAGCAGAAAGGGGCTCGAGGTGTGTGGGACAGACCCTGCGTTCCCGGCTCCCTTCTGCCGACGCAGCAGCTACAGGCGAGGTGAGGATCCCACGGCTGTGCCAGGCTGTCCCCGATTTTGGGGGGGCTCCCGGGGGGCACAGGCAGCCCTATGGCCGGGGGGTGCTGCGGTGAGGGCTGGGCATGGTCCCTACAGCGGGACACGGGATGGTGTTGGCCACATGGCTGTGTTCCCAGGCAGGAGTCAGAGGGTGTTGTGCCCAGACAACACTGAAATCCTGAATTTCTGGAGTGTTTTGGGAGCAGAGAGAAGCAGAACTGGAGCTAGGAACATTCTGTCGGTCTGGGTGGGTGAGGGTGGGCTGGGATGGGGTTGGGATGGGGATGGAGGACTGGCAGTGGCCGTGGTGCCAGGCCCTGCTCTTGGCACAGCTTTGGGCTCCCCTCAGCCCCTCCATGGCCGGGGCTGCTCCTCAGCTCCGTTCGCTGACAGGGAATTGATGCCATTTTGGGACCCCTCTCCCTGCCGAGGGGCCCCTCTCTGCAGTGAAGGGGGAGGATGAAGGGGCTCATTCCAGCTCCCCAAAAATCCTAATCCTCATGGAGCTGGTTACTGCTCTGAGCCCAGCACTGACGCCTGTGTGAGCCGGGAGGGTCGGGGGTCCAGGGGCACCTCCTGCCTCTGCTGCCGTTTGTTTGCTCTGGTTTAATGGAAACCAGATTGTACAGCCAGGAAGGGGCCTGGAAGCCAAGTCCTGCTGCTCGATCACTCCCGGCCCGGAGCACTGCTGGGCTGGATTTGTTTGGGGGAAAATGGGAGGCGGGTTGACGTTTGGGGGGCCTGAGGTTGGGGGGAATTGCTGGGGGGGGGTAGTCCCTGCTGATGGAGCTGTGGGGGCTGGTCCCTGAGACCTTCCCATGGAGCCGTGTGGAGGGGAAGAGCCCTGGGAATGGCTCCACGGTGTTACGTGGCGTGGCACGCGCCGATGTCCCTTGGGAATGTGTCGCGACGTGGTGGGGACAGTCACATCCCTCTCCCAAACCCCCGAGGGGCCATTCCTTTGGGATGGGAAACGTGTATCCCGTGTCCTACAGCACATCATTGGGCAGACCCAGCCCCATGTGGGAGCACGGCACGCAGATGTAGCTGGCCTTCCCCCTTCCCTGGGGACATTCAGGCAGCCGGGACCCCCAAAATCCCCGTTTACTGTGTCCCAGCTCCGGGGCTGCCCCTTGGTACAGGCTCCAGGGGGTCCCATCCCGGCTCCACTCGGCCACCGCGGCGGCTCCAGGGTGAAATCCTGCCCCAGCCTATTTTTAGCTGGGAATGGTTTGTAACGGTCCAGGACGGGCAGTTGGGAAATGCCGGCCGGCCCCGTTACAACGTCGCCCGTGTCAAAGTTTCCACTGCAAACCTCCATTTTTCAGGAATTTTCTAATCAGCCCAATGACTGTTGTCTGGAGCTGGTCGCTGGCAGCAGCCCCGGCTCCCCAGCCTTGAGCAATCCCAGTCAGCTCCTTCCATCTGGGTTTGCTCTGCATCCTCAGAAGACAAACGGAGCCCCTCGCTCTGGCAGGGCAAGAAAACCGGAGCTGCCTTTTGATTTCCACGAGGAAGTTCAGGCAGGTGGAATAGCGAGTGTCGGAGTCCCCTGTGCTGGGTGTTTTGGGGTGGGGGCTGGCCTGGGGCAGGGTTTGGGGGGCTTACTCTGTGGGGTGTTAATATTCCACCCTCCCCTCTGCATCCCACAGGTCCCTGTGCACGATCCCGGGAATGGGGTCGGCGATGTGGCTGCTGCTGCTGGCGCTGCTGGCGGCCCCGGCACACTCGGCAGCCCCCCGGCACCCCCCGGTGCTGCCGGACACGGGGGGCAGTGGGGACGGGGATGAGGCGTCAGCCACACCACCCGCCCCCCCAGTGACCCCCCGGATCAGCCCCACGGTGGGGGACGCAGGGGGGACCACGGTGACCAACAGCTCTGCCCCGGGAGTGCTGGACGGGCTGGTGGACTTCTTCAAGGAGTACCTGCTGCTGGTGGTGGTGGTGGGCTCGCTGTCTTTCGTGCTCCTCTTCATCATCTGTGCCGCCGTCATCGTGCGCCAGAAGCACAAGGCGTCCGCCTACTACCCCTCGTCCTTCCCCAAGCAGAAGTACGTGGATGAGCGGGACAAGGCGGGGGGGCCCCGGGCCTTCAGCGAGGTGCCCGACAAGGCCCCCGAGCCAGGCGCGGAGGAGCCGCTGGACGGCAGCCGGCAGCTCCAGGCGGACATCCTGGCAGCGGCCCAGAGCCTCAAATCCCCCCCCCAGGGCACCGCTGGCCAACGGGGCCCAGGCTGAGCAGAATCCCACCGGGGAAGAGGAGAAGGAAGAAGAGGAAGGAAGCAAGAAGTTGGCGGATGACCAACCTGCTAAGCCCTCTCCCCAAAATCCAGGCGTGGAGGAAGCGGCAGGAGCGACGGGAGCAGGGGGCAAGGAGACCCCTGACGTGCCCCAGGATGGCTCCTCAGCCCCCTCTGGAGTCTGAGGCAGGGACATGGTCCCGGGTGAGCCCCAGGAGCCGCCAGATTGGGACACATGATGGACATGGATCAACGTTCCGTATGTACGTGGTGGCTCAAGGAAGCCCCGATGAAGACCCTGCTCCCTCACCCTCCCCAGCCCCCTTGAACCCCCCCACCCTTGTGCCAATGGGACACTGTGGTAAATCCATGGGGTTTTTTGGTAGCCGCTGGTTTCCCCCAGGGCTGGAATGCCAGCAGCCCCTGCTCCTGCTGCCCAAGGGGCTTTTCCCACCCCAGCTCTGGCTCTGCCCTCCCTGTGCCAACAGCTTCCTCCCAAATGTTATTTTACTGATCAGTCTCTTGGGCTGGGGACCTGGCTGGGAGCTGTGTCCCTTCGGGAAGAGGGACAGGACCAGGACCAAGGTCTGTAGCTGTCCCCTCCCTGGGCAGCAGGGCAGGGGTTCTCTGTGACCATGGGCATCATGGGCGGCTTTGCCCGTGGCTGTGGCACTGAGGCCACACGGACAGGATGCCCTTGGCCACCCGAGGGGAGGAGGGATGAGGATTTAGGGACAAGGACTCACCCTTTCATTTTTTCACCCCAAAGCATGTCCCAGAGCCCAGCTGGACTTTTGCCTCATTTCCTTAACCCCTCTGGCTAGAAATAAACATTTCTTCTGCAGACCTTTTCCGTGTTTCTCTGCAGCTGTGGAGGACCAGGGGACATTCCCAGTGTCCCTTTGCTCCTACAGGACCTTCCCTGGGCTGGATTGGGCTCCAGCCTCTCTGGAGCCCGGCAGTGGGACCCTGAGGAGGCTGCGTATCACCCCCCAAATCTGCACGTCACGCACCGGTTCCAGGAAACCCTTATCTTGTACCCACAGCCCAGGGCGGGGGGGGTAAAGTGGGGCTGTGGGGGATCAAAGGGGCACTGTGGGGGACCTTGTCCCACAGCACTGGGATGCAGCTGCTCCAGCAGGGATGGCAGATAAACCTGGAAGGCGAGAGGCTGTTCTGCCTGGAATGCAGCACATCCCCACTCCCTGCTTCCCTTTATCCCCCATGTCCTTACAGCCCAGATCCCTGTGTCTTGTCCCAGCCACAGGAGAGGTCAGTATGTGTCCACATGTCCCTGCCTCGGGACAACCTGCCCTTTGGAAGAGCCTGTCAGCACGAAGAGCTGACTCTGCCCCAAAGTAGATGTGGGTGTCTGAAGTTTCCCTGATTTTTCTTTTTTTAACTGGGAAACAGCAGGAGTGTTCCCTGGGAGTGAGGCACTCTCTGGCAGGAGCTGAGGTACAAGAGGGATCTTGTGAGGGACAAACCGCAGCAGCAACATGTGGGTTTTGTGTTAAAAATGACAAATATTGTGCCCAGATGTACCAGAATGAACCGATTGCTTTTTAAATGTGGTTTTAAATGTTTAACAACACTCTCAGTAAGAAGAAAGGGAAGTGAAGTGCCTTGAGGGAGTGAGAAGCTAAAGATTTGAAGCTTTCCAATGTGTTTTCTGCCTGTTTTGGAGATACTCCTCTGGAAAAGAGGAATCCTGGGAGCTCCCCCTCAGCTCCATGTCCCAGCTCCACTATTCCCCACTGGGTTCCAGTCTGAGGGGGTATTTCATAGAATCCTGAAATGCTTTGGGCTGGGAGGGATCTTAAAGCTCATCCAGTTACAACTCCCTGCCTTCGTCAGGGATACCTCCCCTTAGCCCAGGATTTACAGCTGTAACAGAGCACTTGGCCAGGGCAGGGGTAGAATTCTCAGAGAAAACACCCCAAAATTACAGCTGTTCTTTTAACAGGAGCTTCAAAAACTTTAAGTGGTGACAGGATGGGAGCAGAAGCCAGCAGGTCTGTGCTCCCTGGCCACCACTTGCCCTTTGGCACCTGCTGAAGGGTCCCAGAACTCCAAGAGCAGGAATTTGCACCCAGATTGCAAAACCAACCCCAGCTCAGTGGGACACGGGCTGAGCGCAGTTCTCACACACACACACAACACCAAGGCAATGCTTCCCACTAAATTCCATAAAATATTAGGCAAAACTAGACATCTTCCAAAAAAAAAAGAAAAAAAAGAAAAAGTGCAGCCCTTCCAGTACCGGCCAGCGGGGTTTTCTCTCTGGAGCAGAGTCTTCCCGCGGCATTCCAGTGGGGACAGGGCCCCCCCATCCCGGCCGTGTGAGCACTACGGAGTGGCTGGACACCACCAGGGACACGTTGTGCGTAACTTGTGCGTATCTTACAGCTTGAGTAGTGCACTGGGTCCTACAACAGCTCGGGAATTGCACTGCAAAGTGAGGAGGAAGGAGGAAAAGCTCCGCAATCAGTTCAGGCATTATTGGCTTTTTTCTCGGATTCTTTGTTGGGATCCTGCTTCAGTTTGTAATCAGCCAGGGCGGCCTTGATGGCGTCTTCAGCCAGCACTGCAAACCAAAAACATGGGATTTTAAGGATCATTAGAAGGCTTTTAGGACAAGAGATGAAGGAAAAACAAGAGCAGGCAGCAGTGACCATCGCTACACGCAACACGTGTCAGATTTGAGGAGCAGAATCTGAACAGAACCCATATAATACTGAATCCACAGAATAGTGAACCCATATAATGTAAATTTATGTAACATAATTTCAGATAATATAATTCAGAATCTGAACATTTATTATCACTCTGCTAAGCTACAGCTCCAGAATATTAAAGAGATCAGAACACACTTAAATTAACCCTGAAATCTGAACATGGAGTTTCTCTTCAGGCCAACTTCGTGCAGAAACTATTTGGAAAACAACATCCCGGAGCATCTGGGCTATTCCCAGAGTATCCTCCTGAAATCCCAGGTGTTTACTTACTGGAGCAATGAAGTTTGACAGGGGGAAGGCAGAGTTCCTTGGCAATATCTGTGTTCTTGATTTTCAGCGCTTCGTCAACCTGGAACACAGGGAGGGTGGTCAGGGGTCATGGTAGGTATAACACAGGCTGGAAAGGGGTTTGCTAAGAGGGTTTACTGAATCCCAAGGGCAGAACATTTCAGCTGCCCGGGCAGTGAGGATGTTGGAATTAAGGAATCTGACAGAGCAGGAATGAACCAACACACACCAGTGTCACAGACTGCCACTACTTGAGCTGCTGATCCTCTACCACAACACTAAAGTGCATTTGTTGCTGGTAGAACAGGTCTAAATGATCTCAAACCTGTTTGTAATTAAACTTTCTTCCAGAACTTGCCATCAGCCTAGTTTTGCTTGTTGCATAAGACACAAAGTACTTCCTTGGTGGAATCATCACCTCTGGAAGTGTTCAAAAAATGTGGCACCTGGGGACATGGGTCAGTGGTGGACCTGGCAGTGCTGGGGGAATGGTTGGACTCAATGCTCTTAGGGCTTTTTCCAACGTTAATGATTCTCTGATGATTCTTGGAAAAGGCAACTCTTGTTTTAAGTCAGGGGTGGCAGTCACTGCCTTCTAAGCTACAGCACAAATCAGTGCTGGGATTCCCTGGCCAGGGTGGTCCCGACAAAGAGCACAGGCTGGTGTGAAAGTCGGAAGCTTTTCCAGGGCTCTCTCACCGTTTTCCCTTTGACCCACTCGGTGGCCAGCGAGCTGGAGGCGATGGCCGAGCCGCACCCGAACGTTTTGAACCGGGCGTCCACGATCTTGCCGTTCTCGTCCACCTCCACCTGTGAGAACATTTTGGGAACGCTTCAGTACCCGCCCCGGGGGAGGAGGGCGGGGCCTGCCCCGGGTACAGGGCACGGGCAGGGCGGCTGTGCGGGAAGGCCACGCTGTGCCCTGAGGGGACACGGGCAGGTTTGTGCCTCACAGCAGCCCCATCTGACCCCCCCGCCAGGTGCCAGAGGGTCCTCAAGGTCACCTGTAGCTTCATGACGTCGCCGCAGGCCGGGGCGCCCACCAGGCCGGTGCCCACGTTCTTGGCGTTGCGGTCGAGGGAGCCGACGTTGCGCGGGTTCTCGTAGTGATCCACCACCTACGAAGGCACAGTGTCACCGAGAGTCATCCAGATTCCCTCCTGTCCCTCCCCGTGCCCCGCTCGCCCCTCACCTTTTTGTGATAGCCCAACGCGGCCGGGGCGGACCTGGCCCGGGGCCGCAGCAGCGCCGCCCCCGCTGCCCTCAACGCCGCCATCTTGATTGAGGGGCGGGCGCAGCACGGCACCCTTTTATAACCTCGGGTGGGGAAGCCACGCCTACGGCCACTCCCACAACCGCGCCCCCTTGCCTCAGGCCGCCGGGCGCCCGGCTCTCATCGCGACCGGGGGTTCGCTGCGCAGACCGAGCGAGCGCTGAGGGCCGCCCGCGGGAAGGGCCTCGCGCTGCCTCTTAAACGATCAATAAGTAAATAAACGATGCAAGCGCTGTTTCAGTCGCGACAGGCGTTTTATCGCGATATCCGGCGCGTGTGCGGGACGCGCCGGCCACACTCAATATGGCGGCCGAGCCGTACCGCACACGCCGCGGACCCTCCCAGAGGCCCCATGAGGGCCGCGCAGCGGGGTGCCCGCGGCATTGCCTGCGCCACACTCCGGAATACAAGGGGTCGCGCCGCCCCTCCGATCAGCGCAGCTCGGTCCCGCTGCGCGGCCGAGCGTGGGACGGTGCGAGCGGAGTACCACCGCTCTCTCCGCCCGGTTCGGCTGGCGGCGGCGCGGCTCGGCGGGACGGGCAGCGCCGGGGCAGCCGTGGCGGCCGGCGGAGCGCGGCGGGCGGCGAGCGGAGCTGCATAAGATGGCGGCGGCGGGAGCTGAGGCGGCGGCCGAGGAGGAGAAGCGGCTGCCGGAGGGAGACCCCGAGTCGGGCGGAGACTCGGATGACGAGGGGGACTCCGACTCCTCCGGCGACGGCGAGGATGAGGAGAAGGAGAACGAGGCTGAGATCCAGCGGCTGGAGGAGCAGGTGGGCCCGGCGGGCAGCGGGTGTGGCGGGAACGGAGGATAAGCCACGACTGTGCCTGTACTTTGATGCTGGGAAGTGTCAAGACGTGGATTTCCGTGGTCCTTGCGGGTCTCGTCCAACTCGGGATATTTCGTGGTTTTAAGACGCGAGTCTGAAGTGAAAACTGAGCGTTTGGGGTGGCTTTTTGCGAGAGAAATCACCGAGTGGAGCCCCAGTGCGCGGTTTGTACTCATTGAGACAGCTAAGCCGTCTGTGGGGGGGCTTCATTGCCTTTGAAGAAATTAAAGCACGTTTTTCTCTGTGAGCAGCGACAGCACCAGAGGAAACGTCTGGAGCTGTGTCAGGGGAGGGTTAGGTTGGATCTCAGGAAAAGATTATTCCCCCGGAGGGTGCTCGGGCACTGAACAGGCTCCCCAGGGCAGTGGTCACGGCCCCAAGGCTGCCGGAGCTCGAGGAGCTTTTAAACAACGCTCTCAGGGACAGGATGGGATTGTTGGGGTGTCCTAGGCAGGGCCAGGGGTTGGACTGGGATGATCCTCGTGGTCCTTTCCAGCTCAGGATATTCCATGAGTTGGCTCTTAAAAAAAGACTCTTCATTCGGGTGCGTTGTGCAGCTGGAATCTGTCGTGCTCCTGCTGCATTGGGATTTATGAGCAGTAACCCTGGGAGCTTAGAGCCATGAGCTGAGCACCAAGCTTAACTTAAAGCTCTTTTAAACCTGAAAGTGTTTTTTTAAAAATGTCTCTGTGTGACCTGGAAACACCTTACAAACAAGGGTGAAGTTTGTTGCAACTCCATTGTCTTGGCTCCGTGAACA